TTGTTCCTAGTAGTAAGGCCAGGAGGTTGTAGTAGCTTCTTGTTCCTTCCAATCATCACGTCTCGAAGACCTATCACGTTCCTCTTCTTCCCTCAGCCGAGGTCCAAGAAGCGCGAAAGTCCCGGATCGGGCTCGCTCTCGAGGACACCCCGGTGCCAGGATCTGCGGTGGACTATGGTAGACCTTTCACTGGTTACATGGTCCTATAGTTTGTCATGTTTCCACACTCACCGGCTTTGAACGATTGTTCCCCAAATTGTTATTTTAGGCATTCCATTATCATTGTGATTTGTGATTTGCAGAGTCTTTTATTCTGCTTCCAGTGCGTTCGCCCTTTCACAAACGCTTATTTTTTTTGCGTTTTTTCCTCCATGAGTCGTTTTGAAAGACTAAGCTGAACACATCCCACGCTTTTGAGGACCTGGACCCTCTTCAAAGTTTTCTACAACATTGGGAACACGGATACGATCAAAGTACAAATCTTTATGGAGGGTCCAGGTATGACCAGCACCATGTCCCTCTCCATCGTTGCCCTGCTCGATGCTCGATGCTCCTCCCCAAAACCACCACAAAACATTCTCCAGCACCACCCCGTTCGGGTGCTTCTTGGACTTGAACAAAGACCTCATGAAAGGGACGTTCCACCGGATTGGTCCCAGCAAACCACCCGTCCCTCCACACCTGCACACCCTCCCTCATCGTGCCGGCCCCCTAAAGCGGGGCTCTGCGCCGCCGTGACGTGCCGTGGAGGACCAAATCTGTCCTGAAAGTCGCTTGTGTTGCAGCCGGGGCACCCACTCACTCCACTCACTCACTCCACTCACTCCGGTCAAGAAAAAAAAAAACCTCCGTTTGAGGGACCCCCGGAACCGTCCGGCAAAGAGGACAGACCGGAAGGACCGGCCGGAAAGACGCGGGCCGCGGGTGTGCATCGTTGAGACAGACCGGAGACAGACCGGACGATGCGGACCCACGTGGTCAGAGCATCTCCCCCCCAAAAAGGAAACACGTGTACCAGGACCCTCCTGTCGGGGTGCCCTGTCTGGAAGCCTATAGGTAGTGTGGGGTAGTTCATTGAACACCCCGACAGGAGGGTCCTGGTATTTGCTTTCTTTGGGATATGGCACGTCTGGCAAGCCACTGCCTGCCATGCAAAAGTTCACTGCACGGCCGTTGCGCCTGCGCACCGGCCGGGTTGTGTAGCGTCAGGTTGCAATTTTGTGGCAGGGTGCTGCACGGGCGTTGGTGCCCCAGCATACGAGTCTGTTCTTGGCGTGGGAGCTGAATCGAAGCATCGAAGCATCGAAGCATCGCATGTGTTGACATGTGCATTCAAAATCCGGGGGACCTCCCAAGCGTTCCGACCGGAACGATGAAATACACAAAAAAAAAACATCAAAAACCCGGCTGAGGATCTCCCTATTTCAAGACACATAATCTCGATACGAGAATGCTTGTTGCAACATGGTGTGAACACCATCACGAGGTGGCAACGCCTGAAATCTATCGCTTGTTCGAGGACGACAGTCTTTGGGTGACGGAAAGATGTGTCGAACTGTCCAGAAATTCCTGAGGGCTAGGTGTCGCAGTGATTTCTAGCGCGTATGGCATCGAAGATTCACAGACACAAGCTTTGGTAAACTCTGAGATTTTTTTGGGATGTTCAAAGCTCTTCAAGTTCTGTGGCCTTTGAACGGTTTCCAAATTCAGAAGCATCTTCATTGTGATGGATCTTAGCGCCTTAGGGAGTCCTTGCGTCTTAGGGAGTCATTTGCCCGCTTTCTCTCTTCGTCGTTCCTTCGGTTTTTCAGGGGCACCGGCCCCTGGACGCGTGCTTCGCGGAGCTTCGAAAGACCTCCAGCCTGGATGTGGGTCACAGCTCTCAGCTCGGCCAGCTGGGGCACAGGAGCGTTGCGTTGGATTCTTTTTGGGTACGCAAGGCCCTTTGTTCCGTTCGTAGCGTCCTTGTTCCAGTTGTAAGGCCAGGAGCCCCGATCGTAGTGTCCTTGCTCCTATAGTTGTAAGGCCAGGAGCCCGATCGTAGCGTCCTTGCTCCTATATATTTCGATATGCTTCGATGTTTTGTGTTGCCGGGTGATGATGTTGCTGTATGACATCATACTCGGTAGCTAGACTATGCCTAGCTGTCTAACTGCTGCAAGAGCGCAACTCGTGGGACATGGCGATAGGGTCGCTACGCGGGTATGCACCGGTTAAATCCGGGATCTTCCCACTATGCCAAACTGATGCCTGCCTCATCTTTAAAATCAGCCAAGTTCGGCAGACATGTTGCATCGTTGGAAGATCTGTATCGAAAGAACAGGGAGCTGGAACTCGGAGCTACAGTAGGGAGTTCCCCAAGCGATCTCGTTGGATCCGGATCCGGAGGAAATCAGGAGTGTTCCCGGATGTGATCCCACCTGATGGACACCCCTCGGATTTCAGGGGATGCAGGTATTCCAAGAAGGGTTTGAGGTTTCAGCCAGTCTGCAGACCTTGGGGGCTTGAAGTGTCACTCCAGTTTTGGCCAGAGCTGCCTTTCTTCCTTTGCCGCGCTGTGGCAAAGGCTTTGGGACGTGGACCTTTCGATTGCTGGTGCCCTTGGCAGAATAATATCAGATGTGCCGTTTCTTTGGTGTGTACATTATACATATATATATATTATGTTTTTTCTTTTTAACTGTATATATCTTAGATAGGGAGACCCCCCCTGGCCCTGGTCTCTTTCTCTTTCTTCAAGGGGGCCAGAACACCTGTGAGGCCTCTCGATTTTTTCGCTCTGCATCCAATGTGACTCTTCACCAATCATGGTTTGGTATTCGGTCATTGGTCCTTTCGGGGCCATTGATGATGATGATGATGATGATGATGATGATGAGGAGGAGGAGGAGGAGGGTGAGGATGAGGATGATGATGATGATGATGATGAGGAGGAGGAGGAGGAGGAGGATGAGGATGATGATGAGGAGGAGGAGGAGGATGAGGATGATGATGATGATGATGAGGAGGATGATGATGATGATCATCATCATCATCATCATTCCAGGGAGTGTAGCTGTGATTGATGACTCAACGATGTGAGCTTCAGCTGCTACGGAGGAGAGACGCATTCTGAATTGTGCCAGGTCCTGTCTTTGCTGACGGCTGGAATCTATATGTCTTTTTCAGAGGCGTCTGCAGTTGGAAGACACTGGACTGTCTCCAAAAACGACGGAATCCACAATCCAATAGCTTTCAACAGTGTTCTCTGTGACATCCTACTCCTTCTCAAGCGCTTTTCTCTTGCTGGCCCAGGTATGACATACCCAGAATGTGTCCTGTCAAAAGCTTCAAAGATTCCTTGGAGTATTCCTCATTTTTGCTTAGGGTGATTCTTGTTGTATGAGTGAATCCCTTGGCACGGGACATATGTCCTTTCCTTCAAGCAACTTGAAGAGTCCCGTTGCATCTCCGTCTCCAGGCCTTTCTTCATGTGTACCCTGTGATCAGCACGATGAGGGCGGCGTCAGCGAGGAGAGGAAGGCTTCGTCCGATGTCCGCGGGCCAGGTGAGCGAGGCCGGTTTGATGGCTGATTGGCTCATTGACCTACTTAGATGGCCAAGAAGCCCAAGCCCTCCGGACCAACAGTACTACTTGCAGGGGAAATTGTGCCCACTGCACTTGACTGATGATGGACAGTTCAGATGGCCTCCAACCCAATAGTCATGACATGCAATGACCCCGTGAATCGAGACTCCACAAAAGTGGTCCAGAATTAGACTGCCAGTGAGTCGAGTGAGTCGTGAACTGAAATCACACAACCCAAAATGCTCACACCTACAGGCAGTTCCCACTTCGTGGCACCTGTGTGCCTTGTTTGGGTTCCCACTTCCAACCGGGGACGTTGATCCCACCGGTGAGGTCAAAGAAAACGCCGCTCGGTCGCAGGATCACCAGCAGTGTGTCGGTCGCTCTGGCGATCACTGCGGCCATCATCAGCTCGGGACGCCCAGGTGATGAGGGAGGAACCAGTGTGTTCCATGGAGTTTCTTGTGCCGAGTTCGGTCGGACGTCGAGGTGGGCCGAACTGGGCCGAACTGGGCTTCCACATCCACAGCGGATGGGACGAGACAAACCATTCTGACATGGAACTGCTGGGAAGGTGTGAAAACTTGTTGCTTCGCCCATGTGATGGAGACCTATGTTGCAGGTGTTCGGATAGGGCACCCCCCCCCACAAGAACCGACGGAACGTCAGTCCAGGCGTTGCTTTCTTTCCATACAAGCTGGGCAAGTCCTTGATTTATGCGACTTTGGCCTGGCGCCCCAGCCTAGTCCTTCGGAGGCTGCGCAGGTCGTGTCGACACCGGCGATGGCAACAGGACACAGGACTTTGTTCCGAGATGAACGAAACATTCAGGCAAGACGGCCAAATCCTTACGAACACCATTGGTTATTTATATTTGTAATCGTAGGTTGGAGTTGGAGGCCATCGCTTCTAGGGTTGAGGCCATCGCTAGTAGGTTGGAGGCCATCGCTTCTAGGGTTGGATGCCATCGCTAGTAGGTTGGAGGCCATCGCTTCTAGGGTTGGAGGGCCATCGCTATCAGGTTGGAGGCCATTGCTTCTAGGGTTGAGGCCATCGCTTGTAGGTTGGAGGCCATCGCTTCTAGGGTTGGATGCCATCGCTAGTAGGTTGGAGGCCATCGCTTCTAGGGTTGGAGGCCATCGCTATCAGGTTGGAGGCCATCGCTTCTAGGGTTGAGGC